ATCTTATATTGTTTTAGCTGTTTTTGGATAATCTTTAGCAAAATTTTGCTTTGAAGTATTAGTAATGATACTTTTTGATAATTTCCACATTGTAGTGCAGCTTCTTACCACTAGGCCACCAGAGCTGTTCAGTTTTATGTAAAAGTTAATATATTGTCTTGCATTTAATAAAATCAAAGGTTATATGTAATTTAATAAAAATTAATTTAATAAAATCTGAGGTTATATGTAAAGTTTTCTGTTGTGAGATCAGATGACATAAATAGCAATGTCTTTGGGCAGTTGGATTTTGTCAACTTCAAGTTTCACAATCAGCCTCAAATTTCACATTGACAATCTGCATTATGGTTGTGGGTTTGTTCCACTCCCCCTCTTGACTTTGCTAATCAAATACCCACATGTTCTAATCTGTCCTTTGTTATGATATTTTTCTTATTCCAGTATTTTTAAAGCATTATCTGGAAGTAGTATACAGAAACAATATGACTAGTCTCTTTAGCCGAAATGTTTTCACTTAAAGGATTTTTCTTTTGTTTAAGGTTTCTTAATCTTTACCCTTTAATTAAAATTTATAGATCATTCATATTTGAAATGATTTTCAACATGGTTGCATTTAAAATTTTACTCTCTTGCTAATTTTTATCTGTGTCACATCTTACTTTATAGATACTGTAAAGATTTTTACATTTACATACTTTTTGCTACTCTTTCTTTGTTTTACCTGTGTATATGCTAGAAGTTCTATAATATCTAGTTAATTTTCCTTTAGACAGTCAATTATAATTTAGAGAATTAATATAAAGAAAATTTTTATTTATATCCTTATAATTTCTAGCATTCTTCATTTATTTTTTAATAGATTTGAATTTCTATTTAATAAAATTTTTCTGCAGCTGTAAAATGCCCTTTAATATTGGTGACATAGTAGGTTAAGTGTTGTCTGTTGAGCAAAAGGCCATATTTGGAATCACCAGCCCCTTCATGTAAGAAAAATGAGTCTGTTTCTTCCTGTTAAGATTTTACATCCTCAAAAACGCAGTGGAGTTGGAATTGACTCATTTAGTTTGGGTAATAGAGATCTGCTAGTGCCAAATTTTGTCAAATTTAGTTTGTCTTGCAATGTTGTAAAAGCAGAGTTGTCAGTGGGGCTGGTGACATCCAAACTCTTCTACCTTCACAAGGGACAAGTGTCAGCATCAGCAAAATAAAACCAATTCTGCTGATGCCAGACAAATCCTTATACTCCTACATATTCTATAAGTTCTAACCTAACCATCCTTCCTTGGACTCTTGCTTCTCTATTACTAGGTCTTCTAATCCATTGCATTTACCACACAGAACTCATGGACCGTACTCATGATTATAAGATTTAATTAGCAGAGTTTTTGTTGTTGTTGTTGTTATGTGCGTTCGAGTCGTTTGCGACTCATAGCGACCCTGTGTACAACATCCCCAAACCCTGCTCTGTCCTGTGCCAATCGCATTGCCTCTGACACACCCATCCCAATTACCCCAGTCAGTGAATTAATCCACCTCATAGAGGGTCTTCCCCTCCTGCACTGTCCCTCTACTCTACCCAGCATGATGTCCGTTTCCAAGGACCTGTCTCTCCTTGCAACATGTCCAGAGTATGTCAGACGAAGCCCCAGAATCTTTGCCTCCAAGGAGTAGCCTAGTTTAACCCTCTCTAGGATGAATCTGTTTGTTTTCTTGGCAGTCCATGGTACATTCACTACTCTTACCCAGCACCACAGCTCAAAAGCATCCACTCTCCTTCTGTCCTCCCTAGTCATTGTCCAGCTCTCTGATGCATAACAAGTGATTGCAAAGACCACGGCCTGTATCAGGCACACCTTTGTCTCCAAAGAGACACCGTTGTTCTTGAGTACTTTAGAGAGGTCATTAACAGCAGACTTTCCCATCGCAATACACTTTTTGATTTCCTGGCTACTGGTGCCAAGAGTGTTGACTGTGGAGCCGAGCAAACTGAAGCTGTGAACAATCTCAGTCTCTTTGCCATTCATCCTGATGCTACCAGTTGGTCCAGTGGTGAGAATCTTTGTCTTCTTGACATTGAGCCTCAGTCCATACTGAAGGCTGCAGTCCTTGACCCTCTGCAGTAAGTGCATGAGGTCCTCCTCAGTTTCAGCGAGCAAGGTTGTGTCATCTGCATAATGCAGATTGTTGATAGATCTTCCACCAATCCTAACACCACGCGTCTCCTCATAGAGCCCAGCCTCTCGGATAATCTGCTCTGCCTCTTGGTCCAGGTATAGGTTTCGCATTAGCAGAGTTCTGGTTGCAATTCATGTTGGAAACAGGATACAGTTCTTCAGGTGGAATAGCTTGTAAAGCTTGTTCTCTGACATTCCCCCTCATGGTTTTAGGCCAGTGTTACACAGCTCTTTTAGTCCTGCTAATCCTCCAGAAAACTTTCATGAAGGCCCTCAGCTCTGACTGCATTGGTTAGTAATTCTAGTTCAGCTCTGCCTGTTGTTCCTCTGTCGTTCTTAACCACCTCTGTATCCTTCATTGTAGCTTGAATTTCTTCATTTACTATAATCAGGCCTTGATCATATACTACTTCCTAAAATGTTTCAGTTCTTACCAGTTTGTTATGATACCAGACAGTTCTTTTTGTTGACCAATTCTTTATCTGTATTCTTTGCATCTTCTTTATGCTTTCTGCATCTTTCAGTAATTTGGCCATAGAATCCCTTCAGTATTTCAACTCAAGTCTTGAATGTGTCTTTTCTTTCACCTATAGAAATGCCTAGCCTTTCTTTTCTAATTACAGCTCTTTGCACATTTTGCTATACTACTTTTCTTTGTATGCTTGAGCTGCCTGTTAAAATCTTAATGCTCTTGTTTGCTAGCTTATAAATTCTATTGAATTACCTGTTCTAGGAATGGGAAACACTGATGAAGATCAAAGATTACAGCCTTCTATTTGATTTACATCTCAAAATCAAGAAAATAAAAGTCCTCATCTTTAGACTATTAGTCAACATCATGATAAATGGAGAAAATATTGAAGTTGTCAGTAATTTCATTTTACTTGGATCCATGGTCAACACCCATGGCATCGGTAGTCAAGAAAGCACATGATATGTTGCATTGGTCAAATCTGCTGTCAGTAACTTCTCCAAAGTTCCTTCATCTTTATTTCTCTATATTCAAAATTTTGTTGGTTTTATTGTTTTAATAATTTCTGGGTCTATTTGTTACTATCTTTCTACTTTGTTTTAATCTTTTCACTCTTAATTTGTCATCTTAATTATTTTTAAAACTTTTTGTCTCACACGTCTCTCTCAAATCATTCTTTGAATTGTGTCTAGAATAAACTGTCCACAATAATATGTTACCAATTAATACCCCTAAACTTTCTTTTTAACATATATGAAAATCTAAAATCCTTTTTCACATGGCTTCTCAGCCTTCCACTTTAAGGAATTTTATTGATTGCCCCATCTTCCCCCACACCCATGCCCCACCTGTAATGCACCCTTCTATCAAGTTTATCCGTTTGTTAATTAAAAGTGAATCAACTCTGAATAAAGAAAGTTATCATGTATGTATTTATTGGGGAGTGTTGGGAAGAGGAGGAGGCCCCTGGCCGGGGCACATCACCCAGTTCTGGATAAGTGCAAGCCTATCTAACCCATCTCAGCTCTTAATACGGGATGGAGAAAGCTCTCCCGTCTTTGGCTTTGCTGGCTGAGAAAGCTCGCTGATGGGAAAGAAGGCTGCCACATGTCTTGAGCTGGGAGAGGTCTGCACTGAGTTGAGGTACTCCTGTCCAATCTACATAGTCCACATCCATGAATCTACCCCACTCTGTCTTTCTGTTTACTTAGCTGTATATAAGCACACTATAACCCCCAATAAAGTTGAATATGCTCTCTGAAGTGCTTCTGGAGTGGTGTGTCTCTGTTGTGCTTACCCCTGTCAGGGTGTCGCTGCTCCCAACAAACAATAGTATTCTATATGCTGTTATGTACTGTCACATCAGAACCAACTCAACCCCTACAGGGGATTTCAAAGAAAACAAATCATGAGGGAGGAGATTGCCCATCTCTATTCCATAGAGAAAGATTTTATCTTTTTATAATATAGTGGTTTAATTTGTAGGCCTAAGCTCTGATGGCTTAATTATAAAGGAATTGCACTCTAAATCCAAAGTCACAAAGTTCTGATCCATCCACTGCTCCATGGAAGAAAGATGAGTGATGTGATTTGTAGTTGTTGTAGTATACTTTTGAGTCGGAACGGACCCATAGCTGTCTTTCCAGTGAATTTTCAGAGGCAGTAAATCTCAAGGGAAACGACTGCTTGTCCTTCCACAGAGCAGATAGTGGATTTGAACTGTGGGCCTTTTAGATTGCAGTGCATTGAACTGTGGGCCTTTTAGATTGCAGTGCACTCCTTACCACTAGTCCATCAGAGCTTTGAAAACCCACTGGAGAGTCAGCTATTTCTTAGTTCTGACTCAATGGTACACAATAACAACAACAGCAAGAACAAAAAGTATTACCTGTACCAGTTTGGAAAAATAATTGGCTTTCTATGCAGGTTTGCCCAGGTGCTTCACTCAACGAGAAAAATATTTGAGGGGAGTGTTTTGATTTTTTTTTTTTTGTTTGTTTTTGTTGTTTCTTTCAAGGGTATTTATCAAGGACACATTTTTGGTTAGTCTTCTAAATTAGTGTGTTCTGTCTTCAGTACCTTGCACCATGTCTGATATATAGTACAAAATATGGGTGCATGAATGAAAGATGATGAATAGTATGGTTAATCACAGTCTTAAATTTTAAGCTAGCCTTTGGAACAAAGTAGCTTTACATATTAAAGTATAAATGACACCTACTCAAGAGAAACATACTAAAGGAATTAATTTCATGAAAATAAGATTTTGTTTGCTTTTTGTTATTTTTTCCTCCGTTTAAAGATAAATATATTTATAAGGATACTAAAAAAATTACTTTTTCTTTTTTATGCAGGGACCTGAACTAATGAATAAATATGTTGGTGAGTCTGAAAGAGCAATTAGAGAGGTAAGAAAATATGTGTTAATTGGAATTCTATATAAGATTAACTTTTATCCTTCTATATGGTTTCCTTTTTTACTTTTTCCAAAATCCTTGTTAAAATTTTATTTTTATTAGAGTTTCCAAATTCAGATTCTAGTGATGCATTTTTTCTTCAGGCATGATATTTTTTTATTACATAAAATATGGTTTTGATTGTCTTAAAATACTTTTATAAAAATATAATACAGTAAAATGTT